GATCGTACCTAGAAAACAATTACAAGCATAGAATACTACGGAATCCGATGAAACAGTGGTCCGAAATTCTTATTACACTGAATCACTGCATAAAGAATGCACCACAGGCATTTTCGAGGTACCACTACAGCTATTTTTCCAATACCTTTGGAAATTTCCATCCAATTAACTTCCAAAATAGATATGATTTTTCGAAAAAAAATTTTTTTTTTTGAAAAAATTTAGATCATCAGTTGAGCAAAAAAAACAAATAAATGGCCAGTGCACCAACTGCCGGTGCGAAGATGCGCTGTTTTGCATAGTTCCCCGCAGATTTCTGTTGCTAACGGCACCGGATTTCCGGCAAATGCTTCTAGCTAAAAGAATTGGGACTAGCCTCCAGGACTGTCTGAAAGCAACCCTTAAACCTGCAGATTTCTAGCTTTTCCCGCGTTGGCAACTTGCCCGCAAATCCGGGGGCTGGGTTTGAACTAATTAAGGCCTACGTGGACCGGTGAACACCCCATTAAAATTAAACTCTTCTAGCTTGTCAGGTTTCCGCGCTAGCAACTTACCCGTAAAAAAATTTCACAGACTCGTACGTGGGAACCATGTAGGTAAGTGCGACCAATTTGGGAATAGGGGCCCGTTCATGCATGTAGATTAAGTTCCCAAAGTTTCAGCTTTGTAGCTTCTGTAGGTCTGGAGATGAAAAATCGGTACTGATGAACACACCGACACAAAGACACACACACACACATACACACACGTACAGCCCCTCGGCAATATGCGTTTTTACATCGCATAGCTGTAAAAAATGCATAAAAAAAAACAAATGCGGCCGAAGTGAAGCAATTTTCCAAAAAAACGAAAACAAAAATAACAGAGTAAGAGATAAATGATCAATCTACAAGAAGATTTGTCTGAATGCTGTGTCTGTGTTTCATCCCTTAGCTGTAAACACTGGAAGTGACAATGAACGGGACAACTTTCTCTCTACTATTTATATGATGAGCATATGCTGACTTACACAAGACCAGTGCGCGCAGTACAAAAATTTGAATAATTTTTAGTGAGATGCTGCTTTTATTCATTCTGCTCTGAACTACTTTTCCCATTTCCTCAGTATTCTTGCTATATAAGCCAATTCTACTAAAACCATAAGCTGCTGCGCTCTTACTAAACTAAACATACGGCATGAATTTGTGTT